AATAAGTCTATTATCAAGAATGCAGTACTAATGTTGACAGTGCTGATTTGTCAGTAACCCTTTTTTAAGATGATACTTTTAACGAAAATTCCGGATGCGAATTTCGGACTCGGTGTGCAATGACCTTAACTCGTGCTCCTCTGCCCACAGGTGGTTCTCAAAATGGTCAACGAGATCAAGAAAATCCCTGGCATCTCAAGGGTGATGTATGACCTGACGTCCAAGCCACCGGGAACCACCGAATGGGAGTAGAGCAGTGGACTCTAGTGATGTATCCTCGTCGACTCCTCTTCTACCTCCCCCTCTCCCGGTACTGTAACATTCCCACCCCGTCTCCACTCCCGCGACCCCTTTAGGCACGCCGCCCTGTCATCGTCCCAACGAGACCGGAACATTCCCGACGATGGCAGGATGTACTGTGATCGGCGCTAAGCTGACATCGCTACTTCAGTCCGGCCACTTTTTTTGGGGTCGGTTGTAATATTATTGGTATTATAATTGTTGTTGTTGTTATCCTCTTCACTGAGAATAATAATGATGATGCATTTTGTATCGGCTCTCTGTGTTTAATGCATTGTGACAGGTCACTTCTCCATGCTTTCTGTCGTTACTGTCCACGTGCGGCACGACACGAACAAAACTACTTTGTTTTGTTGTTGTTTTTTTAAAGCAAATCCACCCATTCAAGGATCGCCGCTTTCTGCCTTTAAAAGCTTGTTTTCACTTTCCCAGTGTTGATTTCGGTTTGGATTTGTCTCCTGAACTCTTCTATGGAAGATTAGCAGTAGTAGTTCTTGAAACCGTGACCAATCGAAGTTGATTTGCCAAATACAAATACAAACGCGATCAGACAGAGGTTTTTCTGTGAAGGAGACTCCTGAATCTGGAGGCGTCCTGAAATTTGTGCCTGTTTTCTTTTTTTTCTTTGGGTTACTTTGTTTTTCAGGGATGTGACTTTATTTTATGCTGCATTATTTTCTTCTCTCATTTCAAGAAAAAGGATTATTAACATTTGAATAGTGCTAAGTGTGATATTTTAAATGAGTTTGCCTGGGCTGGTCTTATAAACGCGTAAGATCAACAGTGTACTTATTTTCACCAATAAAGGCCTTGGGATTTTTTGTGCTTTGTAGAGCAATAGTGTTTCTGAAGGCAAAGGAAATGAGATTTACAGAGGGAGGAAGAGTAGGTGATTGACAGGGAAGTACACCTAGTCCTTTTGGGCTAAGTTGGGCTTGGACCATAAGTCAAAAGTGTGTGTGTGTGTGTGTGTGTGGCCTCGTTTTTAATATTCCGCTCCTTTAAAGGAGTAGTTCACTTTTGCTGATAATTTACTCACCCCCATGTCATCCAAGATGTCCATGTCTTTCTTTCTTCAGTTGTAAAGAAATTAAGGTTTTTGATGAAAACATTCCAGGATTTTTCTCCATATAATGGACTTCAATGGGGACCAAACGGTTCAAGGTCCAAAAGACACTTTCAGTGCAGCTTCAAAAGGCTTTAAACGATTTCAGACGATGAATAAGAGTCTTATCAAGCGAAACGATCGCTCATTTAATAAATAAATAGCAACGTTTAAGTTTTATAAGCTCAAATGCTCGCCTTGCTCTTTTCTGTGTGACTCTCCTGTTTGAACTCGTTCATCAAAATGAACAAATCTTTTCCAGAGTCAACTTGTTCATTTCGTTCGTTGAATGAACCAAATGACACGAAAAAAAGATTAGTTCATTTTGATGAACGAGTTCGAACAGGAGAGTCACATAGAAAAGAGCAAGGCGAGCATTTGTGCTTATAAAACTTAAACTTAGTTTTTTTTTTTTTTAAATAAGTGATCGTTTCGCTTGATAAGACCCTTATTCACCGTCTGAAATCGTTTAAAGCCCTTTGAAGCTGCACTGAAACTCTCATTTGGACCTTGAACCGTTTGGTTCCCATTGAAGTCTATTATATGGAGAAAAATGCTGGAATGTTTTCATCAAAAACCTTAATTTCTTTTCGACTGAAGAAAGAAAGACATGGACGTCTTGGATGACATGGGTGAGTAAATTATCAGCAAAAGTTTTTTGAAAAGTGAACTACTCCTTTAACAGAAGTGTGTTCTTGTCTGTATAGAGAGAGGGGCGCTCGAATGGCGATCGGTGTCCGACCCCCCTCTGTCTAATTTATGATGTAGAGAATTGTTGTGAAACTGTATTTATTGTCTTCAAAGATTTAATTTCAAAACCTTCTGTTGTCACGATAGCAAAAAAACTCAATGCAAGATGAACTTACTCCCTTGTCTTAATTGCTCTTAACGTCTTTTTCTCAGTGTCACATTTACCATGTGTATATTTTACTTGTCTATTAAAAATACAACTAACAAGTTAAGTGGGTAAACTGCAATATTACATATGATATTCAGTTTAATTTATGCAATTCTATGTTGACCCCCCCCCTGCCTCCTTTTTTTTCTTCTTTTTTTTTTTTGTCTAAACATAAACAATGCTGTTTTACCTTAGTATTGTGCCTCAGACCAAGCCACCGCATGCAGTTTGAAACTGATATTTGTATAATGCAAACTGAGCTTTAATAAAGAACTCTGTGTTCAGATTTCTCTCATCACAAGATCTTTCATTCATTGATATATTAATTGCATTTGATTCATAAGCTGGTATAGCTAATTAAATACATCTACAATATGTAATGCTATAAAATGTGGTGCAAATCACATTACAAATAGATAAAATTCTAACTTTTTCCCCATAATTTGGCTCCAAAAAATGATCATTTTGACCATCCTCCACAAAATAGTGGATTACTCTGTAAATATTCATCAACTGTATTTAATATTTTGGCTTTCATCACTATTATATATAAAAAATAACAATCAAAAAGTTTACTTTACAAAATGACTTGATATTCATTGTCAATCACTCACAGACATTTATTAATTCTATAAAGTATTTTAGTGTTTCTTTATTATGTTGAATTTTTTTTTAATTTGAAGTTTTGCATCTATTATTTACATTTTATTTTGGCTTTATTTCAACAATTTTTTAAGGAAATGTGGTTATTACTGGCTGTTTATGTGTGGAAAATTATTTATTTCTCAAGTTATTCCAAACCTGTATGAGTTTCTTTCCTAGATATTTTGATATTTTGAAGAATGTCGGAAACCAAACAATTGGACCCCATTGACTTCTATAGTATTTTCTTTCCATCCCATGAAAGTCAATGGGGTCCATCAACTGTTTGGTTACCAACACTCTCTAAAACATCTTCTTGATATTTTACTTGATAAAGGTGAATAAATGATGGCATGATTTTAATTTTTGGGTGAACTTTAATCACTTTTATCACTTTAACACACCCTTAAACCTAACCATAACGTGATGAATTCGTGTAGCAGGCCACTTAAAACGTCCCCGAATGATCTGTAATTCAGGTGTTTTCGTTTGATGTTGAAGATACGTTAACTTTTACTCCAAAGTGTCACAGATGAGCACATTTGCTGTTAGCCGTTAAACTAAGCATTGAAGCGTTAAGAGCAGATATTGTGTAACGTGAGTCTCTTGTTTGTGAACTACAGTGTGCTTGTGTGTGTTTCTCCCGCTCACCTGGGAAGAGGGATCAGGTGTGTGTCAGACATGTATTGACAAGCACATCCACAAACAGCCAGATCCCGAAGGAAAGGAAAGATCCAGTTTGAAGCGTGGTATAGAGCTTAAGGACACCAGTGAAGCGTACGGATCACAGGTACATCTCTACAGTAACACTCCCAGACTGAGCTGCAATTAAAATGTTTTCAATGTTTGAACAAAAAAAAAAGTTCATTTAAATTCGTTAATAAATTCGTTAATAAATAATAATAAATTCGTTTTTCACAATGTTTCACTCAGATGCTCTTGGAGAGACATAAGTCTAAAACAGTGTGAGGGACTGACATTAATATTAATATAAAGCAGCAAAAATCATGCCGTACTCAAAAGCAAACAATATACAGTCAGTTTTCTAAATTTTGCGTTTCTAAATTTTTGAGTTTCTTCACAAAATACAGAAACACAATGAAACAATGTGATAGTCAGAATTTTTTTATTAAACACCTTTTCATGATTTATTATCCTAATCTATTTTTTAGTCTTTAAGAAGGTTTTTTTTCTACAACTCTTATTTATTTTGTCCATTTGCACCGCTAAATTTGGGGTCAATAAGATTATTTGAATGTATAATAGAAGTGTCATGTTTGTTCATCAAGCAAAATTAGCATTTTTTTTATATACACTACAAGTACAATACAAAAAAAAATACTACTGTAAACTATCATTAATATACAATAAATTTAAAATGTAATTTATTTGTCATTCTCTTCATATTTTGTAATTGTTATTTTATGCATGTTATAAATTATCTAATGTTGTTGCTATTTATTTTATTTTATTACACAAATCTGCCTTATTATGGTACGGTCCTGTTTTATGTAAAAATCAGAGTTTTTATTTTATTACAGTAGTATTTATTTTATTATTTTTTATTATTTTTTGGGGGCATGGTCGATGTTTTGTTATATTTGTATTATATGAAAATTCAATAGAAATTTTTTTTTTTTTTTAATTTACTCCTGTGGTGACTTTTTCAGGATTATTTTTTTTCATGTAACATTATATATCTTTATAGTTATTTTTTGATCAATTTAATGTATCTTTGAAGTAGCCTATAAATTTTATTCTAAAAGACAAAAAATAGACTACAAAATTTTTAACATTAGTGTATGCCAAATACTTTATATTATTATTATATTTATTACACTGTATAAACCATTGTATGATATATCTATTAAAGTAGCTGTAGATGATGTTCGATTATACATTTCTCTACCCATAACTAAATAGGCCTACAAATTCAGCATGATGAAAAAGAGCAAAACACTAGAGCATGTTTGTCACTTTCGGTGGCATTTGGCCCCTGATGTGAATCCACACTGATCAGTTGAGTTTTCTTATGCAATCTTCAGAGACCCCCTGAGAGATGTGTCAGCTCAGGCGTCGCTAACTCATCATCGTGTGTGTCGAACACAAGCTCATCCAAGCAGTCTGTCTTTTACATGTTCTTCCTCCAAATATGGATTTAACCGGATTGAGCTCCAAAGGACGGCTTTTGCTGGTTTTCTGCGTCAGTATTTTCCTCTACACGTCCACCGATGCCGAGGGGAGCTGTAAACTCAAGGCCAAGTTCAACCTGAGGGGTTATAAGGAGGTGTTGAAAAGGACGGTGGTCGTCGGTGGGATGTTTCCAGTTCATCAACGCCTGGTTGATACGGACGCCAACACCACCATCCCTCCGGAGTCGTCCGACTGCGAGGGGTAAGACGCTGCATTTAACATGACATTGATTTGACCTGTTTTTCAGACTGCCATTAGATCTGGTGGATCATCACATCGCCACAAGTGCACACTTTCTAATTGCTTGTCATTATAGAAAAAAAGATAAATTGGTCTTAATTATATTCTTGCGTCTTAAAGATCATCATTCATTATTAAACTGTAGTATAAGGAGTAATTACGGTTTATCCTCCCGAGAGAGCACTTTTATGTTACATAAACGAAACAATGGAAAATAACTTGTTGCACAATGCCACTGGTGCGGTGTAGTGGTAGCAGTGGGAATTACACGTGATTTGGCCCACTTTAGACATTTATAAGTACAATGTATCCACTAAATTAATATTAATTAATGTTCTGTTTATTAAAACCAAGTGTAAATCTAATCAAGTTAGTGTTCTACATTTATTCCAATCCAAAATAATAACCAAGGAAAGTAATTTAAACTATATATTTTAATTGTGAACTAATGTTCAGCTGTTCTTTTTAATAATAAGCTTGTACACACTAGTCACAGAAACGAAGATGTACCTTTAATTTGCTCTCTAAACACCCCACAGTCATCATGTTTTCAATCCATTTCAAGTTTTGACGTGACATAAAGCAGTGATATGGTCCACTTACTTTTTATTAGTCTTCCCACAAACGCAATCACTTTCTTTATTCAGGCCGATTCGCACGAAAACGAGAGCCAATCATAACCAGTTAAAGGAGTAGTTCACTTTTGAAAAAAACTTTTGCTGATAATTTACTCACCCCCATGTCATCCAAGATATCCATGTCTTTCTTTCTTCAGTCGAAAAGAAATGAAGGTTTTTGATAAAAACATTCCAGGATTTTCTCCATATAATGGACTTCAATGGGGTCCAAACGGTTCAAGGTCCAAATGAGAGTTTCAGTGCAGCTTCAAAGGGCTTTAAACGACACCAGACGATGAATAAGGGTCTTATCAAGCGAAACGATCGGCCATTTGAAAAATAAATAAAAAAGTTTTATAAGCACAAATACTCGCCTTGCTCTGTTCGTGACTCTCTTGTTCAAACTCGTTCATCAAAATGAACAAATCTTTTTTCCAGTCGTGACTCAAAGGGTCTTAAATAAGACCCTTATTCATCATATGTAATCGTTTAAAGCCTTTTGAAGCTGCACTGAAACTCATTTGGACCTTGAACCGTTTGGTTCCCATTGAAGTCCATTATATGGAGAAAATCCTGGAATGTTTTCATCAAAAACCTTAATTTCTTTTCAACTGAGGAAAGAAAGACATGGACATCTTGGATGACATGGGGGTGAGTAAATTATCAGCTTTTAAAGTGAACTACTCCTTTAAGCAGACGGTCTAGTCATGCTCTAATGACTGCTAGTTGACATGGACTTACTTGCAGTTAGTAGAATATCTAAAGTGGACCAGGTATCCTCTGTTGAATAAGAAAGACCAACATTAACATGAATTTAATCATAATTTGATTAGATATAAGATATTAAAAGCAAATGCATTCAGTTACATGAAACATTATAAACATGTCACCCACAACGAATGTGAATTCCCCCTCAGCTTCAACTTCCGCGCTTTCCGCTGGACTCAGACGATGCTGTTCGCCCTGAACGAGATCAACGACAGACCGGACCTGCTCCCCAGAACTGAGCTGGGCTACGTCATCTACGACTCCTGTTTCACCATTTCCAAAGCCGTGGAGGGAACGCTGACCTTCCTGACGGGCCAGGACGAGGCGGTGCCGAACTACCGCTGCGGGGACGGGCCTCCTCTCTCGGCTCTGGTGGGCGCCGGAGGATCGGATCTGTCCATCGCCACCGCCAGGATCCTCGGACTCTACTACTTCCCACAAGTACCCTCCATCTAGCTCTGTATTTTGGCAATCGCACACTCTAAAAACAATGCTGGGTTGTTTTAACCCACTTTTGGGTCAAATATGGACAAACATTGGATTAAAAATGTAACCCAATGGCTAGGTTTGAAAAATTGCCATGACTTTAAAAAATGCTGGGTTGTTTCAACCCAATTTTGGGTCAAATATGGACAAATTCAAACGTTGGGTTAAAAATGTAATTTGAAAATGTAACCCAATGGCTAGGTTTGTCCATATTTGACCCAAAATTGGGTTAAAACAACCCAGCATTTTTTAGAGTGCATAAGATAACCCTAATTTTAAGGTCAAAATATATTAATTTACAAAAAATGCCATGACTTTAAAAATGCTGGGTTGTTTCAACCCTATTTTGGGTCAAATATGGACAAACATTGGATTAAAAATGTAATTTAAAAATGTAACTCAATGGCTAGGTTTGTCCATATTTGACCCAAAATTGGGTTAAAACAACCCAGCATTTTTTAGAGTGCATAAGATAACCCTCGTTTTAAGGTCAAAATCTATTAATTTATGAAAAAGAAAACAAAAAAAAAAATGCCATGACTTTAAAAAATGCTGGGTTGTTTCAACCCAATTTTGGGTCAAATATGGACAAACTCAAACGTTGGGTTAAAATTTAATCTTTTTTTTTATTCAACGGCTGGGTTTGTCCATATTTGACACAAAATTGGGTTGAAACAACCCAGCATTTATTACAGTTTCGGTTCAAATTCTCACTATATTTCCTTGTAATATGACATAGCTAGCCACTTATCAGCATGCATATAATGACTGTTTATTAGTACCTATAACACATATTAATATGTTGTTCTGCATGACCATGTTCTACATCCCATAATCCTACCAAATGCCTATATTTAATTAGTTCCTTACTATTAATAAGCAGTCATTAGGAGTTTATTGAGGCATAGTTAATATTAAGAACATTTAAAAATGACATTTATGAGATTCTTGAAAAGAAACCTAATTTAGTAGTTTGGCATACAGATTAAGAAATGATTATTATTACAATCATGTTTATTATTATTCCTTAGTTTAGTTTGTTTTGGTGCAGTGAACATGCAGAAACATGTAAGAAGAAAAAAAACATAAAACAGTAAATTATATCACAGAGAGGAATTTTTTTTTTAAATTTTACAGCTTTATTCAGCAAGATTTTTTCAAATAAATACAGTTTTTTGGATATTCATCAAATAATCCTGAAAAAAAGTATCACAGATTATTTACACACAAACATGAAATATATATGTTAAAGACTATATTGAAACATACATCTATTTTTTCAACATTGTATTTATTGATTTTAGAAACATTTACATTAAAACAAGCACAGAAAAAAGGGTAAAAAAAATAAATAAAATAATAATAAAAACAAATCTATCCTATACAAATTCCAAGACAATGGTACATTAATAACATAATTTGTTATTCCTGGTTACACCGAAAATAAACTATTTGGTTCAGCTTCCTTTAAAAAATCTATAAGGTGGTTCCATACTTTGAAAAACTTTCCAGATTTTCCTTTAACAATATATGTGAGTTTCTCCAAAGCCAAACAACCTGCCAATTCCTGTAACCATTGTTTAAAATGAGGGATTTCTGTGTTTTTCCAATGACGAGCAACTACAAGTTTTGCTTGTAATAAACAGAAGGTCAACATTTTCTTACCAGAGTTAGTTAGAGTGCAAGTTACAGGGAACATATTAAATAAACAAAGTTTAGGACATTTGGGGACATTCTGTTTCACCACCAGTGACAAAAAGTCCAAAACCTTTTCCCAATAAAGTTGAACTTGAGGGCACTTCCATAGACAATGGAATAAAGTTCCTATCTCTGAGTTGCATTTTAAAAACATACATCTATTAATTTTAAGTCATTTTAGTAATAATTCCAAGTGTTGATTTGTCTTTCCTCCTCCCCAGATGAGTTACTGCTCGTCCTGCTCGGTTCTGGAGAGCCGGTTCCAGTATCCCACCTTCCTCCGCACCATCCCGAGCGACGAGCACCAGTCCGTGGCCATGGCCAAACTAGTGCTTCACTTCGGCTGGACCTGGGTGGGCACCATCGCGGCCGAGGACGATTACGGGAAATACGGCATCAAGAGGTTCAAGGAGGTGGTGGAGGAGGCGGGAGTGTGTATATCCTTCTCCGAAACCCTTCCCAAGATCTCCAACCCGGAGGCCATGGAGCGCATCGCTCAGACGGTGCTGGACTCCACGGCTAAGATCATCGTGGTGTTCTCCTCAGATGTGGATCTGAAACCTCTACTGGACGAACTGCTGCGTAACAACATCACCAACCGCACGTGGATCGCCAGCGAGGCCTGGGTCACGTCGGCCGCCATCTCCCGTCACCCCGACATCCTGCCCGTCCTGGGGGGAACCATCGGGTTCGCGGTGAAGCAAGCCGAAATCCCCGGCCTGAAAGAGCACCTTCTGGGTGTTAGTCCATATAACGACACTCTGACTGAAGAGTTCTGGGGGATCGTCTTTAACTGCACTCTGAGTTACAGGCAGGTTATGAGAGGCATGAAGAGATGCACTGGAGAAGAGATGATTGAAACGCTGAATAATACGTACTCAGATGTGTCTCAGTTAAGGATTACGTATAACGTGTATAAGGCTGTGTATGCCGTGGCGTACGCCCTACATAACCTCGAGACTTGTGTACCTGGCAGTGGCCCGTTTGAAAACGGCACATGCGCTGATATTAACAAATTCGAGCCTTGGCAGGTATGACACACACACACACACACACACACACGTTTGTAAACATGCAACCAAATAATCCATTAGTAATTTGACTGCTCAACCGGACTGAAAAGTCTTTATGTAAACACCTTAATCGGTCCAATTGAGTTTGATCCCATCGGATTAAAAGCGGTGGTTTATTCCTTTACTACTTTTCTATTATAAGCAGCACGGCACAATGGTTAAAGGGTTAGTTCACCCAAAAATGAAAATTCTGTCAGTATTTACTCACCCTCATGTTGTTCTAACCCCCTAAGACCTTCGTTCATCTTCAGAACACAAATGAAGATATTTAAGATATTAAGATCGCTCCTGCATACTAGCTCCTGGCCTCGAAAAGTCATTAAAGACATCGTTAAAATAGTCCAAGTGACTACAACTCAGTTTTAACTTTATCAAACGACGAGAACACTTTTTGTGCGCAAAAACAAACAAAAATAACGACTTTATTTCAACTATTCACTTCCTTCTCCATGAGCCTGTAGTCAGTTAACGTAGTGGGATTGCGTAGAGCTACGTCACACGTAGGCTCACTATTGGCCGACGCTGGTCATGTGTGTGTGATGCGTGTAACGTACAATAACAGAAGCTTACGCTATTAAACTAGTAACCTGACTCGAGGCAGAGGGAGAAATAAACGAATAGTTAAAATAAAGTCGTTATTTTTGTTGTTTTTTGCGCACAAAAGTGTTCTCGTCGTTTGATAAACTTAAGATTGAGCCCCTGTAGTCACTTGGACTATTTTAACGATGTCCTTTAATGACTTTTCGAGGCCAGCAAGTCATTCCCTCAAGAAGCCTATGGACTAGTACGCAGGAGCGATCTTAATATCTTAAATATCTTAATTTGTGTTCTGAAGATGAACGAAGGTCTTACGGGGTTGGAACAACATGAGGTTGAGTAAATACTGACAGAATTTTCATTTTTGGGTGAACTAACCCTTTAATATGCTCATTTATTCCAAATTATGATCAGAAATTGATAAATTTTAAGTCTGCTGTTTAAAACAAGTGAAGAATCAATGTAGGAGAATGGTTAATATGTGAAAAACAACAGGAAACTGCATATATTCGTGCTGTTTGCACGTCCAAAAATATTGCTTGTGACATATAAACGCGCATATTAACCCGATCACATGTTTAGCGTTCATGTAAACACTACATTCAGATTCATCAACCGGAATGAATTCAGTCCGATTGAAACTGAAGTTGTGCATGTAAGCATAGCCCATGTCCTTTGTGAAATCTACTCATTTATAACCACTGTGTGCCTTGTGTTCAGCTCATGTACTACCTGAAGAACCTCCAGTTCACCGTCCCTCACACCGGAGAGCACATATTCTTCAATGACGGGGACGTGGACGGCTTTTATGAAATCTTAAACTGGCAGAGTGATTCAGACGGAGAGATCACATATTCCCACATCGGTTACTATAACAGCTCGGCACCCGCCGACGACAGGCTGATTATCAACAATGCCTCTATCATATGGAACAATGATGTCCTCGAGGTGAGGATGCGTGTAATTTACTCTGATTAGAAATTGGATTATATATAGTAATGATAGGGCTGTTAACATATTTCATTGCAGTTAATCTCTATTTTGTAAAAAGTTGAATGCATTAGGTCTCTTTTTAAACAAAAAACATCTATCTATCCATTCATTCATCCATTCACACATCCATTCATACACCCATTCATCCATCCATCCATCCACCCATTCATTCATTCATCGATCCATCCATCATTCATCCATCCATTCATCCACCCATCCAATCCATCCATCCATTCATTCATCCATACATCAATCAATCCACCCATCATTCATCCATCCAGCCATTCATTCATTCATTCATTCATCCACCCACCCATCCATCCACCCATTCATTCATACATCCATCCATCAATCCACCCATCCATCCATCCATCCATCCATCCATCCATCCATCCATCAATTCACCCATTCATTCATACATCCATCCATCAATCCACCCACCCACCCACCCACCCACCCACGCACGCACCCATCCATCAATCAATCCATCCAATCCACCCACCCATGCACCCATCCATCAATCAATCCACCCATCCATCCACCCACCCATCCACCCACCCATCCATCCATCCACCCACCCATCCACCCACCCATCCATCCACCCATCCATCCATCCATCCACCCATCCATCCAATCCACCCACCCATCCACCCACCCATCCACCCACCCATTCATCCATCCATTAACCCATTCATACATCCATCCATCCACCCACCCATCCACCCACCCATTCATCCATCCATTAACCCATTCATACATCCATCCATCCATCCATCCATCCACCCACCCATCATCAACCCATCATCAACCCATCATCAAACCATCCACCCACGCACCCATCCATCTATCAATCAATCCACCCATCCATCCACCCATCCATCCATCCATCGATCCACCCATCCATCCATCCATCCATCCATCCACCCATCCATCCACCCATCCATCCATCCATCCATCCATCCATCCATCCACCCACCCACCCACCCACCCATCATCAACCCATCATCAACCCATCATCAAACCATCCACCCACGCACCCATCCATCAATCAATCCACCCATCCATCCACCCATCCATCCACCCATCCATCCATCCACCCACCCATTCATCCATCCATCCATCCATCCATCCATCCACCCACCCATTCATCCATCCATCCATCCACCCACCCATCCACCCACCCATTCACCCATCCATCCATCCACCCATCCATTCATCCATCCATCCATCAATCCACCCACCCATCAACCCATCCACCCACCCATTCATCCATCCATTAACCCATTCATACATCCATCCATCAATCCACCCACCCACGCACCCACCCATCCATCAATCCACCCATCCATCCACCCATCCATCCATCCATCCACCCATCCATCCATCCATCCATCCATCCATCAATGAACCCACCCACCCACCCACCCATCATCAACCCATCATCAAACCATCCACCCACTCATCCATCCATCCATCAATCCACCCAACCAGTGGCGGAACTAGAGTTTTATACATGGGGTGGCCAGGGGGTGGCCACTGCTATTTTTGGGGGTACACACACACACACACACACACACACACACACAGTGGAAGTAATTGGGTCACTCTGTTTGTAATAAGTGTTGAACATCCAAAATATTAGCAGAAAACAAAGCTGAAGCACCAAGGAGATAAGATACAGTAGCATGTGTCTGTTTTGAACTGCTATGTTTATTTACAAAAAAAAAAAAAAAAAATCACATTTACAAACTTTTTTTTTAATTAGATACAGCAGTCATCAAGCAGACATCTACTTCAAAATTTAAACAAATTTTAGTGCCCATCAATTAAAACAACACAATTCTGCGGTTCTGATGAAGAAACGGAGAAAAATGCCTTTAAAGTTTTTTTTATACCAGCCAGTCAAACATGTTATGTGTAGATTATGTGGTAATGCATCTCCGAAACAGGACATAATTTAACCCAGATATTTTTTCACAAGACAGACATGTCATAAAGCCCATTACAAGTCTTAACTCATTTTTGACCAAATATCATATGTAATTTTCGTTACTGTGCTTTGCCTTTGTAGGGCAGTGTGTGCAGGGCTGCCAACTCTCACGCATTGAGTGTGAGACAATTCTCACGCTACACCCCCGATTTCTCATGCTAATGTGTCAAGCCGGTCACTAAAATACCTGAAAAGATGAGTTTATCTATAGTTCCACCCGTTGAGCCACTCGTGATCGACTAGTTTTACCGCAAATTAGTTAATTAAAATATCCTCTAATCTAGAGCGAACGTGCATACGAGACAGATGTTGAGCTCATAACGGCGCGGACGCAAAGCCAGGACTGGAGCCAAAGCCCGTTCCTCTCTGCACTCTAAGCGTTCTGTTATCACTCCGCCTCCATCCACTACGGGTTTTCCAGTCTCACGCACAGGAAAAATGGACGATTTTAAAAGATAATCTTGTTTTATTTTTTATGTAAAAAACTGCTCCGTGTCCGATTTTAAAAGATAAGTTAATCTTATTTTTTCTTTTTATGTATCACAAACGTCTGAATTTATAATACTCAATGTAATGACTTGGAAAGTATTCTAGCACTACACGTTTAATTCATTTTCCAGCTGCCTTTTTGCACCCAGGTAAAAAGAACAATTATACAAATTCTACGAACACTTTTAGTTTGCTAACAAAAATATCGTTGTCATTGAACTATGCCGTTAACGACCGACTTGCGACCATAGTTGGCCAACCTTTCGGGAAACGCACCCAGAACGCATCACGGCATGGTAGCCTACTGTATGCGTATATTAATGTATTCGGAGTAAACAACCCTGATGCTAAAACTTACTTTAAATATGATGTTTCTTCTGTGAAGATGAAGACGTATCCTGACTTGCAACCATCTCTCGTCCTCTGCTGCTCGTCTGTTTGAAAAATGCGCGCGTGCTGACGAAAGTTTTTTTTTATTATTATTATTAATCAGCATCAGCAACTGCCAATAAAATTTTGGGGTGGCACCCGGGGTGGCCAATCGCATGTCAGGGGTGTCCAGTGCCACCCCGGACCCCCCTCTGGCTCCGCCACTGCACCCAACCATCCACCCATCCATCCATTGTGTATTACACTGTACCTAAAAAATCCAGTATGATGTTTTAAAATAATTGAACATTATTGCGTGTGGAATCGTATAGAAGATCAACTGAAGAACGGGTTGTTTCTCTTGTGTCCCAGACGCCTCGCTCTGTGTGCAGTGAACGCTGCCAGCCCGGCACCAGGATGGGTATCCGGCAGGGTGAGCCGGTCTGTTGCTTCGACTGCATCCCCTGCGCAGACGGAGAGATCACCAACACAACAGGTCACGGCAATAAAGACCTTTGTTCAATCAGTCCATTAATGGTTTCAGAGTTTATCCTTAGTCAATCTGAATAACTCTTCCAACAGATGCACGAGGCTGTCTCCAATGCGACGAGGACTACTGGTCCAATGCCAATCACGACGAGTGTGTGCCGAAGACCATCGAGTTCCTGGACTTCTCCGAACCCCTCGGGATCACACTGATCGCCATCGCTGCGTTCGGGGCTCTGGCTGCCATCGTGGTCGTGATCATCTTCTTGATGCACCTCAACACACCTCTGGTGAAAGCCAATGACCCTCTGCTCAGCTTCTCTCTGCTGCTGGGTTTAGTGATCACCTTCCTCAGCTCCATCGTGTTCCTCGGTGAGCCTCAGAAGTGGTCGTGCATGACCAGTCAGGTGGCGTTGGCTGTAGGCTTTGCCCTGGTCCTCTCTTCATTAATGGGGAAATCTTCTCTGCTCATGCTGAGAGCCAGAGCTGTAAAAGCTGTCAAATCTGCGACGCGGGCAGCAAAAGCAGCGGCAGCGGCTGCCGAACAGAGTCCCGACACCGAGGTCATCGCTCCAGCTATTCCTCAGAAGAACGACGTGGATCCCATACATCCCAGGCACCAGAGGGCGATGATGATAGTGGGCACGCTGATCCAAGCGGTGGGTTGCACTGTGTGGCTGATCCTGATGCCTCCACACCCCATTAAAAACACAGCCGCCCAGAACATCAAGATCATCCTGGAGTGCGACATTGGAAACATCATCTTCATCTGCTCCATCTTCGCTTATGACATCCTTTTGGCTCTGCTGGCCTTCGCTTTTGCTTTTGTGGCACGAAAGTTGGAAGACCACTTTAATGAGGGCAAGAGCATGACCTTTGGCATGATGGTGTTTTTCATCGTTTGGATCTCCTTCGTTCCCGCCTATCTGAGCACGCGGGGGAAATTCATGGTGGCGGTGCAGATCTTCGCCATCCTGGCGTCTAGCTTCGGCCTGCTCGCGTGCGTCTTCATCCCCAAGTGCTACGTGCTGCTCGTCAAACCAGAGAGGAACACAGTGGAGATGATGATTCCTCGAGTCAAATCACGTGACGCAGGCGTTTCGCTCGCCACCAACAGCAGCTCCGCTAACGGCACCACCGTGTCCACCGTGTCTCTAGATGGCTGAAGACATTCCCCAAAAATCATCTACCGTGTCACTCTGAAGCCTTATTATATTGGACTCTGACATATTTAAATATACATTTAAATCTAAGACCCAATAGGAATAACAGTAAAGGACTTTTAAGGGGGTCGTATTGCACTATATCATGTCTATGTATAATACAATTTAGTTTAATGAGCATTTTTTGCCATCTCTAACCCCTAGAAGGCTGTTTTTATACATTTATTCGGTAACACTTTACAATAAGGTTTTCAACTCACGTAAAGTTGATAATTCCGCAAATGACTGCAATTGCAGGTTTCGAACAGAGATGGCGACAAAGAGGAAAAACACCACACTGCAGCTTTAACTAATGAACCTTATTATAAAGTATTACCATTTATTCAATTAAACTGAAAACATTTTAAGTTCTGTAGTTTTAATATCTGACTGCAGTTTTGCTGTCAAGTACAATATATATATTTTAAGATCCCCATGTTTTCATCGGAGGATCATTTTTGGAGCTTAGTTTCAATCCATTATACCATAAAAAGGTTAATAAGCAGATGCTCTACCGCAACTGTAGAGAAGCAGCAAACAAAACGTAAAAATATCAAACTTTAGAAGAAAGGTGCAACACTCATAATAATAAATCCATGTTTAACATGATACATAAATATGAAATCTTGAATTTCTTTAATGAGAGGGCAGTTTTGAGAGATTTCATTACAGATTTCATACTATAATCTCTAATTATTTTTTTTTTACACAGCAGAAACACTTCAAAAGAGAAAAAGTTTGGCAAAGGGAAAAAGATTCCTCATGATATGATCCCTTTTAATGAGCATGAATTTGCACTCAGAGAGGATTTTGTGACTAGTGTAGCTTATCTGTTCAAATTACATGAAAAAAGCATGGATTTCATCATCAACAAATCTTTTCAGAGACAAATTATAGTCTTAAAAGCATGGAAACAAAGAGGTAAATGTAATGTTGAAGCTTGCCAGCAGGTGGAAGCAGTGAAAGTCCATAAACTGAGATCTCTCTGCATTGGAGATGACACCAATGAAACTGTCCTAGTTGCTCTGTCAGCTGTGATATAAAATAACTATTGTAATAGTTTTGCTAACATACAATGAAGTATATTTTTGTGAAAATTCTGTAAACTATGCTATATGTGAATTTGAAAATGAATTTTCAAAATTAGATTAGACTGGGTGTGTTTTAGATAAATATGGGTGGCATCATGGATTCATGCACAGATTGCATCTAATGTGAACTGTTAAAGAGCTACTTAATATTGAACAGGATTCCACTGAGATCTTTACTCATAAACAATACAAATTAATTATGTATTGCTTTGTTATCTTATTCATAAAATAAAGTTACAATAAACTACCAAAGTTTACCTGTTTTAATATACTATTTTTTTAGTTACCTGACCCAGTGTGACTTCTTTAGTGATTTGGCGATTAAAAACCTTGACAGATTCTTAACAGTTCATGCTTAATTGAACTAGTGACGATAATGTTTATTATCATTATTTTAGAGCTTTTACACTACTTTTCTTTGTGAGCAAAATTTAAATAAATAGCCAATATATTATCAAATCTTCTTTGTCTTACCCCGATTCATCACTACGGTAAGCCGCGTGTTTATGCTTGTCGGGATGGTTTTCGCGCGAAATTGCAGCTTAAATAGCCTACGTCACTCGCCCGCGCGTGTCTCCTCAGATTCGTAAAGAGAAAAGTTGTTCGCGCCTTCGCGGTGGAGCAGCTAAATCTCCGCTTCACTCGTTTTAAAAGGACATTTGGATAGTCATTCAGGAAAGAAAGTCTTGAAGGATTGCTGGGAATGTGAGTATAAAAGCTTTGGATGGGCTTCAATGAGGGGGAGACACCGAAAATGGGATAAGTGATGTCAAAATTGCCTGTGGTGTTATAACATTTCTGTGGGGGCTATGTCAGCAATTCCTCCTGGGCTTTTCCCTATAGCTAGTTGATTTTCAGTTACATGAAGAAAACCTAGCCTAACAAGGAAATAAATATGTTAAAAAGTACACCGATCGTAGCGCAGTACAAGATGCGGCTCAGACTCTGGAATAACAGTGGCAGTTTACATACTTTAAAGACAAAATATCAAAAATAATCTCAGATCATATTTTGTATTTAATACAGAGTTAATAGCAATATTCCTATTGCTTCAGTGGTTAGAAGAAGTTCAACCAGTAAGATCAGTGTACAGTATTCCTCTCAGCTTTGTCAAGTAGAAAATCTATGGCTAGATTTGGTGATCGGGACCAACAGTATTCCTGTGGGTACTATCATATATAGTTTGGAAATGGATCAAAACATTCAAGAATATATCATGAATTATTTATTTACTTAAAAGAAACATGATTGATAATAAAAATGAACGAATCTTTTTTCGAGTCATGTGGTTCATTCAACGAAAAAAGATTCATTCATTTTGATGAACGAATTCGGACAGGAGTCACGAACGTGCATCACACAACAGAGCAAGGCGAGCATTTGTGCTTATAAAACATAACGTTTTTTATTTATTTTTGTAATGACCGATCGTTTCGCTAGACAAGACCCTTATTCATCGTCTGGTGTCGTTTAAAGCCCTTTGAAGCTACACTGAAACTCTCATTTTGGTTCCCAGTGAAGTCCATTATATGGAGAAAAATCCTGGAATGTTTTCATCAAAAACCTTAATTTCTTTTCAAATGAAGAAAGAAAAACATGGACATCTTGGATGACATGGGGGTGAGTAAATTATCAGCAAATGTTTTTTTTTTTTTTTTAAGTGAACTACTCCTTTAATTGTTTATCAACTTCCTAACCATTATGCGCTTCACACTCCTATCCAGCAGGTGGCGGGAATCCACCAGTTGTAGTTTGTCAGCCAACCGACATTAAACACCAGAAGAAGTAGAAGAATAAACAAAAAGAGAGCGAGACCCCATACCATGAGCGAGACCGAGCTCGTAATAAAACAAGAATCAACTTTGGCTCTTTTGGAGATGGCGAGAACTGATGGATTTGACATAATGCAAAAGCGACGCTGAGATGACGTTGACAACTCAACAGGTGAATAAGGTGTTTTATTGAACAGATAAATTGCTATATGTAGCTCTCTAATAGAGTTCACAGTAAAGCATTATCTATTGTGAAGGCTCATATTCATCCGCACACACACACAACCGAAGCACAAACAAAATAATGTTCTTATGCAAAATGTATAACATATAATAGACACAGCGGAGTAAAAAGTCTCCAAATATAAGACTGAACATTACAACATACACAGTGAGGTCTAAAAGTCTGAGACCACATTTTAAAATAATAATGATACAAATTTTTTAAGGGTTTTGAAAAATTAAGAAAATAAATACTATATGAATATACTATATAATTAAGGCTGAAAAATGATCAATGAATTGAAGTTTTACTCACCCTTTTCTTAAAATTAGCACAATACAAGCAATTTCCATAGTGGTGTCAGACTTTTGGATACAACTGTATCAATAAAGGCCAAAAACTACCATCGTTGCATCATAGGATGAACGATATTTACACTAGCGTTGTGTCAGAGAGAATGAGTTCGCATAGTTCACTTGATGCCACTAGACTAGATGCTTTGTGGAGTGATGATATTCTTCTATAATTGGACGTGTAACAACACACCCTCAGTGAGGAATAGCCCAGCATGCCTGAGGAAGACTTGTGTGTGTGTGTGTGTGCGTGTGCCTGGGTAAATGTGGATGTGGTGTAAACAAAATGCTTAAATTTGGTCTTGACTCTTGACAGAAAGTCAAGTGTCCATTCATCTCTGGACTGACCACTGAAACACTGAGCAGTGATAAAGCCTGTAAAGGTATGATTTTAATAATTCATCAGGTTCAACTCAACTCATTAAAGGTGTGAGATTAATAATGGATGCAATCCAGTGGGAAGTGTTGGGATGCATGCGGGAGTACTTTACCGAGTAGATAATCAACATCAACACATTGTGGTTTAACTGATAGGAACTGCTGAGAGACTTACATTAGTTATTAGTGTTGTATTTGTATGTTTTCCAGGTGAGGTAAATATCTAGATAAAATGGAGGCAGACCGAGATATGACAGAGGACACTGACAGATGTCGCAGAAGTTCAAAACTGCCCTACAGGTGAGCAAAACTCATGATCAGATCTAATATCTGCTGCAATAAAGAGTTGAGCAAACTCTCAGGCTCAGGTGTATTATAGCAATATGCATTCCTGAAATGTTGCTTTCATTGGGATGCTTTTGTTGCACAGAGAGATGGATAAGTAGAGCTGATAATTACATTCCTCTGCTGTCAGGGTAGATTAGTTTTGAAAGAGTCTGTGTTTGACCAGCAGGAGGCGCTGTCCAATGATGGTCATTTACACTCTCCTCATCTCCTCATCTCCTCATCTCGTGTCATTTGGTTCATTCAACGAACGAAACAAACTCAGAAAAGATTTGTTCATTTTGATGAACGAGTTCGAACAGGAGAGTCACGAATGCTCATCACAGAACAGAGCAAGGCGACCATTTGAGCTTATAAAACTTAAACTTTTTTTTTTTTTTTAAATGAGCGATCGTTTCACGTGAATAAGACCCTTATTCATTGTCTGAAATCGTTTAAAGCCCTTTGAACAGTTTGCACTGAAACTGTCTTTTGGACCTTTAATATATTAAAGCAATGGATTTATAGTATGCACAAGAAATTCAATGTGTATAAAATTTTATTTTGATTAATTGCATTTTGAAAAAAAATAAATTAATGGATTTATTGCATTTTGGGAAAAAAAACAATCTGTTTTTATAATAAATCTTTGAAAATCAAAACCTGGATTTAATTTTTTTATTGATATTATAACCTACAAATTCCATGTGAAAATTTGAAACAGAAAATATTGGTTTACATCTTCCCATTTTCTTGCTAAAGAAAACACAGTTTTACTCAAATTCATCAAAATGGATTTATAGCGTTTTGCAACCAAACTCTTCAAATAATGGTGCAAATACCTGTAAATTGACGAGCGCAAACCTTAGTAAATCCCCTTGCGTGATTCATTTAAATACTCTCCACCCAACAAATGCATATGCAATAATATAAGTCTGCATATCTGCACCTTTTCAGCGCTATTTTTTCACTGCGTGTCTTTAGTAAATCCTAACGGTAGCTTTTTTTTGGGGTTTGCGTTGATGCAAACTGTTGGTAAATCTGGCCCCAAATCCTTGTTAGCTTTGGTCCCTGTGTGAAACGCTGCAGAATGAATCTGAAAG